CAGATAACTAGGTCCCGGGGCTGACTTACACGGGAGTGAAGAGGCAATGCGGTCAAGAGTCAGCAGACAATGGAAGCGACAAGCGACACGGTTAGTTCTTTTGGAAGCAGGAGATCAGGCTAAGGGGCCCCTGCAGACTGCAGCCCCTCCTCCTGTGCTTGCCTAAGCCCTGATGGACAGAGCAAGAAGCCTATTTCCTCACTGGGCCTGTGAATAACTAGGGCACATCCGCAAGGTCACAGTTATTCATTTAAATTCCAGCTCTAATCAGCAGGCAGAGCCTGAGAAATTATCCATTCTGAGGGGAGAGGCTGACAGAGAGCATCATAAACAACCCTTAGGCAGGAGTGAGGGGTGCTGAGAGAGGGGTGTAGAAAGAAGGGTTCTTTCCACTGCTATCTCCTCTCTTCACATCCCAAGTGCTATACTCCCTCTCCTAGTAGAGAGTTCTGGAACATTCAGAAATGGGTAGAAGGTTGAGGGCAGAAAAGGGATGGCACTGCCTACTCATAACCTATCCAGGGAGACCAGTGATAAATCCCAGTGAGCAAAGTAGATGAAAATAAATTGATTGCATATCTTTCCTTAACTGCAATGTTTGTGCTCCTTGAAAAATACACCCCTTAAGCTCTACTGTGTCTCAGGACCCTATACAGCCAGATTTCCCTTATGCTTATGATCAGTCCTATCTAATAAACACTTACTAGGCTCTATGTGCTTTGTACTCTGCACAGATACAGTAGTACAGACACAAGTAAGACACGATGCTGGCCCACGGGACCACTATGGAAATGTGGGCGCTTTAAAAGAACAGACTCTGGTGGCATCTGAATTCTAAGGTTCTGGTCTAATCACTGTCAAGAGGTGACCACTGGCCTGTCACTGGAGCTCCCCAAGGCTTCTCGTTTGCGGTGCACATAGTAATGCCCAGCAGGAGGAGTTAACATGAAGATGCAGGAGAAGGCTCAGCCATCTTCCCAAGATCCGCAGGTGGTACTAGAAAGGTTTGCTGTTTGCTTTTATTATCCTGAATCCCTTTGTGTAACCTAGGGTGAGAGGCTTTGAACTTACTCCCTACTGCAATCTGGTGGAACTTGCCTGCTCTTTCGATCCAGGTACCCAGGACTCAATGTCAGGAGTCCCCGGCCTATCTCAGGAACTCTGGGAAAGGCTTTTCCCACAAGTCTTATCTCAAACTACAGTCTACAATAGGATTATTTCCAACCAATGTGCTCAGCATATGAAATTCACCAATTAATCAATCATCCCATTTATAGTCTTCTAGTGGCTTCTGGGTAAACAGTTACATTAGGTCATAAAATCCCCAATATGTCCTCCTGGGTCAGGGAGCAGGGGATCAGAGAACCACTAAAGGCTTCCCTTGTCAGAGCACAATACTGTTGGCTCCAGATTGCTTGGCCAGGAACTGAGAGAGGGTGGAAGGCTACTCGCTAACCTTCGGCAGGCCTGGCCTGCACAGGCCAGCTCCTTCCATATCCATGGCCGCAACTGAAGGATCTAAACCAAGAGTTTTCTTCAGGCTTAGAAACCATAACAAAATAAAGGAGCTGGAGGAGTGACGGGATTAGCTATCATTTCTAGATACTTCAAGGGCAAAGTGAAGGTCACAACATTTAGACTTAGGCTAGAATCCCCTCTTGGTCCTGCTGTTCCATAACTGAGTACAGCACATCCCTTAACCTCCCTGGACCCCCACTTAATCAGCAGTAAAATGGGGCTCGGGCTACATACCTCGGAATGTTATTAAGGAAATAAAATGAGATAACGGTGATTAAATAGAGATGTGTCAGGGAAGGGGGCATTAACAGTTGTTATTATCTAAAGAAAGGGCAGTCATAGACCTCCACCCCTCTGAAGAGATCAAAGGAGCTCTGGTCCCCTCAACCATTCTTTTCCACACAAGGACCAATATGGTGACCTTGTGAGAATCAGAAACAAGGTTCCCCCATGAACATAGGCTGGGGGAGAGAAATGCAGGCTGAGCTTCAAGTTCGTTCATTCCTGGGCAGAAGGACAGTGTACCACCTTTGGAAACATCTCTGCTGTCAGTCAGATGGCAAACAAGACCTGAGGTCTTGATCTTAGTCCCTTACTTCCTATGATTAAATACTCTGCTACCAGAGAGGCTTCCCCTGTCCATGCTCTATAAATTAGTGATTTCTTTTTTACAATACTCCACTTTCTCCATACCACTTAACAATTACCACGTGCTACAATATACATTAGCATGCACATGTAATGTGGATACATGCATATAAGCACCTATACAGATGTATACGCATCTGTATGTCTGCCCCCATTTAGAATAAAAGTACATGAAACCAGGGATTGTCTCCTGTTTATCATTTTGTCCACAGTCCCTGATAACACATATTTGTTGAGTGAGTAATTGAATTAAAATCTTTTTAAATAAAAAGAATAAATTTAATGGTATGTATGTATATATGTATGTATGTGTTCATTTATGTGCAGGTGCATGTCTACATGTGTGCATATGTATGGGGGCCAGAAGACAAGTCTGGGTGCCATTATTCAGGAGACGTCCTTTTATTTTTATTATTTAGACGGCACTTTTCTGGCCTAGAACCAACCAAGAAGTCTAGGCTGATCTGCTAGGAAACCCCAGGGAGCTGTTGGCCTTAACCTTTCCAGTGCTAAGGACAAAAAGTACATCCCTGCACCAAAAATGAAGTTTAGATCTGGGGTCTGGGGTTAGAACTCAGGTCCTCATGTTTATAAAGCAAGCACTTTACTGAGCAAGTATGACTCCAGCTCTGGTGGTATTTCTGTGGAAAGGTTGTCTGTGCTGTGTTTCAAAGAAAGATGAGGGATAGGCAGAAAAAGTATGAAAATGTCCTCTGTGTTTGATAAGAATAACTATATTGATTTCCAAAGTGGTTGCACAAGATTGCATTCCCACCAGCAATGGATGAGTGTACCCCTTCCTCCACAGTCTCTCCAGCAAAGGCTATCATCGGTGCTTTTGATTTTAGCCATTCTGACAGGTGTAAGATGATATCACAAAGTTGTTTTGATTTGCATTTCCCTGATTGCTAATGAGGTTGAGCATGACCTTAGGTGTCTTTTGGCCATTTGCCCTTGGGAAGCTGAGGATAGGGAACCTGAACTGACCCTATCCTATAGCATTACTGACGAATATCTTTCATATCACCATAGAACCTTCATCTGGTGATGGATGGAGATAGAGACAGAGACCCACACTGGAGCAGTGGACTGAGCTCCCAAGGTCCCAATGAGAAGCAGATGGAGGGAAAACACGAGCAAGGATGTCAGGACCACGGGGGGTGCACCCACCCACTGAGACAGTGGGGCTGATCTATTGGGAGCTCACCAAAGCCAGCTGGACTGTGACGGGAACAGCATGGGATAAAACCGGACTCTCTGATCATGGTGAACTATGAGGACTGATGAGAAGCCAAGGTCAATGGCAAGGGGTTTTGATCCTACTTCATGTTCTGGCTTGGTGGGAGCCTAGCCAGTTTGGATGTTCACCTTCCTAGACATGGACGGAGGGGGGAGGACCTTGGACTTTCCACAGGGCAGGGAACCATGACTGCTCTTTGGAAAGGAGAGGGAGGGGGAGAGGAGTGGGGGGAGGGGGAGAAGAGAGGGGGGAGGGGGAGAAGAGTGGGGGAGGGGGAGGGAAATGGGAGGCTGGGAGGAGGCGGAAACTTTTTTTTTCTTATTCTCAATAAAATAAAAAAAATGAAAAAAAAAGAATAACTATATTGTACTCTTACATTGTGGAATCCCACATATAACAATGATCAGAAAGTCCCTACCAAAGTATGTGATTATTTTAGGTATCCAAGAATAATAATAAAGGATATATTCGTTTGGAGACAGAGATGACAGTAAAAGTCAAATTACCTCTCCACACAAACAAACAAGTGGGCAGTCATCCCTTCAGGGAATACTTACAAGATCTCCAGGCATTGGGAATTTTCAGCGATGACCCCAGAATGCACCATTCAAGTGTGAATTGGTTTTAGAGTTCAGTTGCTACCATTGGTGAGTTCTATGACCTTTGGCAAAACTATTTAACCTGTCAGACCCTAAATTTCATGTACTTTAAATTGTATATAGCGATACCGATCTTATATTACTCTCTAAGGGTTAACTGTAAAACAGACTAAGTAAGTAAACATGAAGATATCAAAGATGGTCTCCCGTCCTGTCTGTAAGTAACTGTTCTTCTTAACTCAGAGTCCTAACTAGTTTAGAATAGATGTAAAACCATTCTAAATCACCTCACATTTCTTACCCATGAAGGATTAGGTCCTCTATTATGGTCTTATATATGTACATATATGTAAATGTCCACATACAAGGCTTAAAAGTAGGACTCTGGGAGAGCATGCACTTTTAATAATAGTATACCTATTATTAAAGATAGGCCTTCCATGTTTCTATGAACAAAATCCAATCAAACCCTCTTTTAGATTTTTTATAGTGAACATGTATTACTTGCATAACTGGTTAATAAAAAGAATATTATCAATATCATTGTAGGAAATAGGGATTTCTTAGAAGAAAGAAACCTTCCTTTACCCATATAATTTCCGGGTTGCATAGGTAATATTGTCAGCTTTTAACCACGGAAGTTATAGCTATAAAACAAAGCAAAAGTATTCATTGCATTGGATAACACGCAGCTAAGATTCTTTTAAAAATATTTTCCAAAAATGTTAATTTTCCACTCCTTTGATTCACACAGAATTCATAAGGAAGCAATCACTTAAGCCAGGGAAACACATTCCGTTGGTTTTAAAATAGTTCTTCAAAGCCAGCAAAAAAAACCTTACTTCAAGGCATTTCTTCTTCTAAACCAAAAATCAGTGAAAATGCAACATACTAAGATGTTTTTTAATCCCTGGAAAGGGGGTCAGTCAGAATCACACCATGCACAGTCTAGCAGAAGGCAAATTCCCACAGCAGCTGTGCGAGCAAAGACTCACCTGGACCTTGACTGACATCTGTGGCAGCAATTTCAAAGCAAGGGAAAAGGAGAGGAGAGAGAAACGAAGAAGAGTGTTAGAAGTGCACCCACACACAACACCGTGTGTTCTTGCATGAGTTCAAAGGCCATGCAAGCCCCCACATTCCTACCTTCACCCAAAATCCACCCATGCAAGCCAAGGAATCAAGCTCCCTTTTCACTGTGCATGTAGCAAAAGAGGTAAGCCGCGCATCTGTCCGGAAAGACATCATCCTGGAATCAGATAGGGCTCCAGAGAGCCAAGCAACCTAGAATCCTATAAGAATATTGGTTAAAATATTCTGGTTGGTTTCTGCACACTGACACCCACGCAAATTCTCCTCTTTTCCAGATACCAAACACTGGACGCAGAGTCAAGTGAGGTTTCACAGCAGAGAGAAAAACAAATTAACCACTCCCCTGAGGAAGAAAAAGAGACATCACCATTAAGAAAGCGCAAGCTGCAGCATTTGTTAGCGTGGAGGGCAGAAGGACAGAAGGTGGCAAAACACAGTGACCATTCTTCATCACAGACAGCAACGTGTGCTTGAGATTGTGTGAACCAAACATTTGCCATAGAAACGGAAACTCTGCTTCCCTGCACCCGTCATCTTTCTCCTTGCTTTTCACCCCATCAGGAATGACAAGAACGACCTGGTACAAATCACTTTTGTCAGTCACAATTGAACACAGAGCCCTGGGAAGATTGGCACATCAATTAAACCAATGAACTTTTAAAACACACACAGAACAGTTCACTCCCATCATCTTCCTCAACGATGGGATGCCTCCTGCATCCTCCCACTCTCAGATGTGAAGTAGGATTGTGCTGGGGAAAGCTAAGTGAGAATGGCCTGAGGCACTGTTCAAAACAGTTTAGCAGCATTAACTATAGCTGAGGCAGCAAGAGGCTGACTGGGAGACCCATAGCCATCAGGAAATCCTGGGTGGGTATGCTTAGAATCACTAGCTAGTGGATCTGGGAAGACCTTAGGCTTGTCTAGTTTGCTATTGCTTGTTGTTGTTGTTGTGTAAGGATGGAAGGTATTGATAGGTTATCCCACAGCCAGTTCAGAGACAGAACTCCGAAAAGAATCTTCCATCTCTGAGTTTGATTAAGTTCAACATTTATTCAATTAAAGCCAAGACCTCTCAAGACATATAGGATATAGTTTAATTTGTAGGCTAAAAAAAGTATCCTTAAGCCACAGGAGAGACAGGTAGGAATTCCCCCAGGTACCCCATGAGTAGATCACCATTAATCCTCTGTGACTTTAATCTGCTGCTGGGACGAGACAGGTAACCTTCCCCATGCCAATAATGAAATGCCTGCAGTCAGATTCGTACAGTGCATCCTTATGGCTTTTACCCCAAAAATACCAAGGCTGTCACCTAGACTCAGCTGTGCCCTAGCATTTGGGCTGTGCCAGAGTCAGATCAACAGCTGAGGATTCACCCAGCGCTTGCCCTGCAATCCCTGGAAGCTATATATGCTCCCAGACACATCTTGAGAACCCTGAATCATTCCTTAGACAAGCCCCCTTTCAGGTTTTTCTGGTAAGTTAGGTTTAGGGGTGGAGCGATGAGTGAGGGGAAGAAAAGAGGTAAAATAGAAGAGGTGGGTAGGAGAAGGCTGCTACATGAATAGCTAAGTGATGCCATTAACGGTGACTGATGGACTGCCTAGAATAGTGGTCTCATTAAAATACCCCTTAATTAAACAGGCTATCTGCGGTGAGAATGTCAACATTACTGTTCATACACAGTCTGTGAGGGCTCCAAGACACAGTGAGACGGGATCCCTTGGAACCCCAATGGTCTTTAGATGTCAGTTGGGTACCCACTTTAGCCCTGTGATTACAATCCTAAACTTGGAGAGAGACAGGTGCGAGCTCGCATCCCAGCATGCTCTGCAGCCTTAGGCCAATCCCTGCTCTTCTCCCTAATTCCTCTTCCCCAGCCTTAAAAATGGGAACAGAACCTCCCCCATGGGGGTGTTAGTAGACTTCAAAAGCTTGCAAAGCACTTAGCGTCAGGCAAGCCCTGTATAAACAGTAGTGGCTCTGATTGTTATCGTTTGGAATCACCACAGACAGAATTGCCAGCATTTATTGACCAGATGGCTCCCTGGAAACACTGGGAGACCACAGGAAGTAAACCTGTGACTCAGGTTCAATGCTTCTACCAACCCCACCTCACCCCCCTTCCCTCACCCCATTCATCAGTGCCAAGTGAGGTGAGAAGGGGCTGGAATCTGGGGTGAGCAGGAGCTGAGGTTGAAAGAAATTCCATGATTACTTCCTCTGTTTCACCCCCTCATACTTTAACTCAGTATAGTTGCAAATCCCCTACATAAAAATACAGTATCTCTTCTCATCACAGAAGGGCAACATTGACACCCTTAAAAGTCCTTTAACCAGTAAATGAATAACAGATAGATAGATAGATAGATAGATAGATAGATAGATAGATGATAGATAGATAGATAGATAATAGATATAGATAGATAGATAGATAGATAGATAGATAGATAGATAGATGATAGATAGATAATAGATGATAGATAGATAATAGATGATAGATAGATAGATAGATAGATAGATAGATAGATAGATAGATAGACAGACAGACAGACATATGTGACAGAGGCAGGGGGTGAGAATAAGGGGTCCCTTGGGGCTTTGGGAGAGTTGGGAAAATGTCTATTGGAAGAGAGTGAGAAACTGGCTTCATCTATATTGTCTCTACTATAACAACCCCAGCTCTCTTCTAGGGAGCCCCCTTTTCCACTTTTAATCAATATGACTTATAAAGATGACCCCTTCTCTTACCCCTGTTCTAATAGAAGCCTCGTGGCTCCAGATTGTGGGAACAGTCTATCTTCTGGACCCATAATTGACTCAAGAACATACATGTGACCCAGATCCAACCAATGAGAGTCTTCTGAGGGAATTTCACTGGAATTATTAGGAAATAACACTAGCTTCCGTCTTTGTCATGATAGACAGACTGCCTCCATACTTGGCCATGGGGGCAACACAAGAGGGCACAAGGCCTCTTCACAGGATAGGGGAGGGTAAGCTGGCCTAGAATCAAATCCAAACTCTGTCATCCATCCACAGGCAATTGCCTCCACATTTCTGAGCCTCAATCGCCTCTCCTATAAATAGAGATTCTCATAGTATCTATCTTAGTGAGCTGTATCCATGGAAATCCTATATTCACATTCAATACATATTAACAGAGTGCCAATTATAGGCCAGACCACACTCTCTACATGGGAGATCCAAGCAATGAATGAATAAAACAGGAAATACCCTAGGGTTTTAAATGGGAGATGTGAACAATACTAACATACATGTGTAATGTGACATGACATAATGATTAATATCATGAAGAAAGAAGAAACAGGGTAAATGACAGCAGGCGTCCCTATGTCAGAAAAGATTGTTAAAGAAGTATTTCCGAGGAAATAATGTTATATCTGGGCTGATACCCAAAGACAATGAGTCTTATATATACTTGATTCAATCTGTCCAGGCAAGAAAACGGTACCTGGACAGGCTGCAGGCAGGACTCATTCTGCTGGTTAGTACTCCTGAGCGGACAAGGGGTCTGAGAACAAGCTCCCTTCACCTGCAGCTTTCCTTCCAGCTCACCTGCAATGCACATGCAGTCTTAAGCAGGTCACAGATGCTCCAAAGGTACTCAAGGCTAAAGGAACCCTGATGGAAACTATTCCTGACCGGGCCTGAGGCCACCTCCCTCAGGACTTCCCTACTCCAACCAGGGGATGCAGAAGAAGAGCAGAAGGATTTGAACTCCATCACCACCCTATGCCCACTCTCTACAACCTCACAAGCAGAGGGGGAGTAAATCAGGGCATCCCCACCTGCACTCACGGATGCCAAAAGGATGCTCAACAATGCCATCAGGCACAAGTTCAAAGGAAGCAATTTGTTGGGGGGAGGGGGGAGTCTAACTAAAGCAGAAAAGAAAGGACCCCTCCATCTACACTGCTACATTTGGAGACATGACCCTCCCTGGGAATGCTCCCTCTCACCTCACCCTTCATTTGGACTAGATCATGTCAAGAGCTGAGAGTTCAAAATTCCCCTACTTTCTTCTCCCGTGCCTTCTCACACCCCTAGGAGAGGTTCGGGAAGCATGGAGTCGGATACACAGGCAGACTCCTGAAGGACAGCCCCAGCCAAACCTTAGGGGACACCACCTGGTGAACTCTGCCTTGAGTCTGACCTATTTTCTAGGAGAGAAAATAGAATATAGATTTGAATGCAGTGGCACTCTGGAAAACTACAGGCCCAGCAGTGTGAGAAAATAAAACAGCAGGGGGTGGCTGAGAAAGTGCAGGCTCTGGTGAGCAGACTGTTTCATCTGGTTGTCAGTGGCCCCTGCTTTGACAATTTGCCGCCCACTTTTTATTCACCTAAAACTTGATACAAGGCTAAAGAGATTGCTTAGCAGATGAAGTACTCACAGTACAAGGGTGAGGGACCTGAGTTCAAATCCCCAGAACCCATGTAAAAAGCCAGACACCAGTAACACATCATCTCAGCCATCTCAGTGCTCCTAGGATGAGATGGAAGGCAGAGACGGAAGAGTCCCTGGAAGCTTGCAGGTTGGCTAGGCTGGCATAGGCCGCAGGAAATGATAAGGCAATCCTGCCTCCAGCAGGGTAGAAAACAAAGATCAACACTCAAGTTGCCCTCTGCCATCTACACACATGCTCAGCTATATAGACATATAGGCACACACACCATATACATCTATACAAAACAAGAGAAAAATGATACACACTATTTATGTATGTGTTTCAATGAGTAGGTTCTGGTAACCATGCTTCCCCACACATGGACTCGAAGGCACTGGCAGAAGAAACACTGGGGACACTAGCTTCGTAAACAGGAACATCAGGACAGGAGCTAGGTATACCTGTGGCTACACCCCAGTCTGGTTTTTCTCACTGTGTGGCCTCAA